CCGGGAGGTGGAGCTTGCAGTGAGCTGAGATCCGGCCACTGCACTCCAGCCTGGGTGACAGAGCGAGACTCCATCTCAAAAAAAAAAAAAAAAAAAATCAAGGGATTATCAGAAAATTATGTAACATTTGTGTGTGTGTGTGTATGCAAGTTGTTTATTGGCTCCTTAGGAAGAAAAAAATACGTGTATGAAATAATTAACAGTACAAGAATTCAGAATTATTTGTTTAAATGTTTAAAGTTGGTATTGAGTGCTGTGGTATAGGAATAGGGAACTTTTTCTTAGGGTCAGTGATGGATTCTTGGGAAAATACAATGAAGGCCAAATGGAAGCAAAAGACAATTTAATTTGCTTCTGTTTTGAGGGAACGTTTTAAAAGTTAACTCTTAAATTTTTTAATTTAAGAACTTTGTCAGGAAACGTTGAATTAAATATATTAAGTTTAACCCTAACAAGCATCAGATCTGTCAGTCTGTTGTGTGAGGAAATACAAGTTTCTTTCTGCTTTCTGTTATGACTGTTGATGTGCATGAGCGTGTTTTAGGTTAGGCTGGGTTATGCTGTGGTAATACATGCCACCAAAATCCTCATGATTTAACACAATAAAAAACTTTTGCTCACACCAAGTCTGCTTGAGGGCTCATTGGCTCCATGGAAACTGATCTCCATGTCCAGGCCAGTTTGGTCTTGTGGCCATCCATTTTAGGGCAATGCTTAGGGTCAAGAGAGCAAAACACAGGGCTGGAGAGTTAAGCACAGGTGACTAAATGCTTCAGCATGGGAATGGCATTCATTTTCACTCACAGGAGGTGTTCAACTTAGTCACATGGCTGTCTATGCCTAACCTCAAGGGAAGGGTGTGCAGTCCTCCAGGAACGCAGATGTAAAAAAGCCAGTGTGGTGAATAATAGTATTGTCTACAAAAAAAAGTAGCATAATAGAGTGAGATACAAGCGAAGTACATTGGGATCCCAGTAAGGAGAAGTAAGAAGCTCTGATGAGATGCAGGGAGAGTCATAGAAGGCTTCATGAAGATGGTGACAGATGATACAAACACAATAGAATGAGTAGGTTTTCCTTAGGTATGAAGAGAAGAAAGGACATTCAAATGGAGGGAACAACACTGACTGAGTCAAAGCTAGGGTATACTGGATGATGTAGTGGGAGAGGAAGAAGAGATGAGCGGGCCTTGAATTCGTTTAACATTCAGCAAAAATGTATTGCATATCTACCATGTGTTTAACATTCAGCAAAAATGTATTGCATATCTACCATGTGTTAGGCACTGTTTCAGGTTTGCGTAATATCTGATAATGAACAAAACACAAAAAGTCTGTCCTTGTGAAGGTTACATTGCTAGTGGATGAAGTGCTGAGGAGTTAGTATTTTATTACAAGCATGTTGGTGAGTAAGCAAAGATAGGAACGTTGGATGCCTATGAATCTTAAGATTTTCCTGGTCGAGCACTGTGACTCATGCCTGTAATCCCAGCACTTTAGGAGGCCAAGGTGGGTATATCACTTAAAGTCAGGAGTTCGATACCAGCCTAGCCAACATAGCAAAACCCTGTCTCTGCTAAAAATACAAAAATTAGCCGGGTATGGTGGTGTGCACCTGTAGTCCCAGCTACTCGTGAGGCTGAGGCAGGAGAATTGCTTGAACCTGGAAGGCGGAGGTTGCAGTGAGCCAAGATCGTGCCATTGCACTCCATCCAGCCTGGTGACAGAGTGAGACTCCATCTCAAAAAAAAAAAAAAAACAAGATTTTTCTAATATTTTTATTTTACATTAAATAGAAGGCAGTTGGTTTGCATGAAAATTATTATTTCACCAATTTGCCTCATTATAGAAAACACACGTCAAAGTCAAATAAAACATAGAGATGAATCTCTGAAGTTAAAATATTTTATTTGGGACGCAAGAATTGCAATTTGGGGCACACACACAGACCACAGGGTGGTCTTCAGTATGTATGAAGAGCAAAGTAAAGGATGGAGGTTTTATAAAGAGAAGTGTTACATATTTTGAAAGACAGGTCATTGGCACTAGTAAAGTTTTGGGGAGGTGGCAAGCCCTGATTGGTGAATGACAGTGGTGGGTAATACTGGTCTTAGAGTCAGCAACAAGTTGTTTCAGTAGCCATTAGATAAACTGGTTTCAGGTTACAATAGGCAGTTTCAGCAGTCAGGCTTACAGAGAATTATAATCTTGGAGCAATGTTATAATCCCCCACCCCTACCCCGCCCCCCTCCCCTGGCCCTCAACTCTGATTTAGTTGAGTATGAGTAGAATGACCCAATTAGTATGATCAGCTTTCACACATGAAGGTTGAATTTATGAAACATATAAATTTGAAAATGAATGTTTACATTGCAAAAGCTTTTTTAATGAAAATTTTGGCCAGTAGTTTAATTTCAATGAGTATGTTTTCTTTGCACAGATAGTAAAACCACTTGATACATACTTTATGGGGACATGAACTGCTTTATGCACTGCTTTATCCCACACCTTTAATAGTGCCTGGTGTGTGTGTGTGTGTAGCTCACTCAGTAAATATTCAATGAATGAATGAAGAAATTCAGAAGATAAAAAAGAGAAATTTCCCTTATTTTTAACCTTCTGAACACTATAGCGGTTAGCATTTATATCATTTATTCAGCCATTCTAATATTTATTGAGTACGAGTTTTGTACCAACTGCTATTATAAGATATAAGGAATAATAAATTCCTGTTTTTGTTTTCATGAAACTTAAATTCTAGTGTAATTAAAATCATGTAGAAATAAACATAAACATGGTCACCCAGCTTCTTTTAAAACTAGACTGCAGGCCGGGCGCGGTGGCTCACGCCTGTAATCCCAGCACTTTGGGAGGCCGAGGTGGGCGGATCACGAGGTCAAGAGATCAAGACCATCCTGGCAAACACGGTGAAACCCCGTCTCTATTAAAAATACAAAAAATTAGCCGGGCATGGTGGCGGGCGCCTGTTGTCCCAGCTACTCTGGAGGCTGAGGCAGGAGAATGGCGTGAACCTGGGAGGCGGAGCTTGCAGTGAGCCGAGAGCACGCCATTGCACTCTAGTCTGGGCGACAGAGTGAGACTGCGTCTCAAAAAAAAAAAAAAAAAAAACTAGACTGCAGTTACAATAGCATGCATCTTGTGCACAACAAAATCTACCTGTTTTTGTATTAAAGCCTTAGTGTCAAAGCTTTATTATCGTTTTAGTCTTTTCTTTTATCAACTCCATGTTTATAAATGGACTATTTTCCCCAAGTTCTAATATGGAAATTAGAATCATTTTTGTTATAGGAACAATGTTTACAAGTTGCCTAGATTTGTAGTGAGGTCATAAAAAGCCTGTTTTATCTGAAATAGACATTTGCAGTAAAAACATAGAAATTGTTGTTTGAGATGCCGTATTATGTGATAATTGAGTAAAATAGACAAGAGCCTATCCCCAAACCTGGTATGTGAATGTGAAAGTATTAGAGAAATAGTGAAGAAGTAGATGGAGATTAGTGTGGAAATTCTGAAAAGGACATCTTTTGAGAAATTCAGAGGTAGATGGCAGAAGTTTTAAAGCTTACCTTCACTTTAAAACACTGAGTTTCATTTTCTTTGACTTGAGTATATTACAGAGCAGTTTATTAGTTAAATCAGGCTTGTTTTGATTTATAGGTACATAGAGAAAGACAGGGCATTTTCCTGGATAAAAAGTTGGAAAAGAGAAACATATAAAGGGGGTAGAAAGTGGCTGTGAGTGCATGTGGAATGAGAAGCCTCCCTTGGGCAGGAGTTAACAGCCACAATGGGGAAGGGATTGGGACATCTCATCCTTTGTGTGTGGGGGCCAAGGGAGCAGTAGTAGCAGGATGCCTGCGCATACAGCTGTGTACACAATGTGTACACAGAAGTGTAATTCTCGGGCCTGAATATTTCATAGGGTAGAGACATATTGAGTACTTTATTCATCTATTCAACAATGGCCATCTATTAAGGGCCACACAATCTAGCTATTTCTGTAAAGCACATTGTTTTGAATTACTGTTAGCAGTGTAGTGTAGAAGGAAATTGGGAAACAGATTCTCTATAGATTTCCCCCTGAACAGTTATGTAGCTGTACCCTTGTCTGGTGAATGGTGACATTAGCTTTTCCCCTGCTGCACGGGCTGTAGTGAGGCGCAGGTGTGCAGGTGCACTTACTAGCATATGGAAAAGTTAAGCGCTGTATAACCGGAAGGCAGCCCTTTTACTCCTATTATATATGGCAGCCACATATGCAAAATATCTAATTTATTCCTGAACACCCAATTGAACTTCAACACTTGGTATTTTTCGTCTCAGAATTCTCATTTTCCTCAAATTTATATTATGTGGTTAAATTCCTTTGAAGTGCTAGATACTTAAAGTAGGAATGTTGTTTCTTCAACTAGAAGCTCTTAGAACTTGGCAAGCACTCTGTGTTCTCTCATTTCCTTATCTTTGTGTATGCTGTATTGCAGCACACGTCACATGGAGATGGGCGTCAAGAAGTTACCTCTCGTACCAGCCGTTCAGGAGCTCGGTGTAGAAACTCTATAGCTTCCTGTGCAGACGAACAACCTCACATCGGAAACTACAGACTGTTGAAAACAATCGGCAAGGGGAATTTTGCAAAAGTAAAATTGGCAAGACATATCCTTACAGGCAGAGAGGTAAATACCAGTTATGCTTATTTCTGTTATGACAGTTGCTCTGTTTATTTCTATGTAAGAGAGAGAAAAGAATATAGATATATTTGGCCTTATTTCTAAGCTAAGTAAGCTATTTATTTGTTTTGTTTTTATTTTAGTTTTTATTTATTTATTTATTTATGTTTGAAATGGAGTCTCGCTCTGTCGCCCAGGCTGGAGTGCATTGGCGCCTTCTCGGCTCACTGTAAGCTCCGCCTCCCGGGTTCACACCATTCTCCTGCCTCAGCCTCCTGAGTAGCTGGGACTACAGGCACCC